CTTTTGTTTGTTTCTTACATCTGCTTGCTTGTTGCAGCCGTGGGTGTGAGGATGTTTGCATGTGTGCCTGCGTGAATGTGAGGAGGTCAGAAGACAGTCTATGGAAGTTGAGTCTCGCCTTCCACTATGTGGGTCCCGGGAATCAAACTTAGGTCTTCAGGCTTGGCAGCAAACACCTCTACCTGTTGAACCCTCTCACTGGCCCTTTTGTTTTGCACCTGACCTCATCTCTGCCTTTGCTTTCTCTTTCCTAGATGCTTATGAGCTGGCTTTGCTGACACGGGAAAATGTTGTATACTACGGGAATCAGGGTTACCTGGGAACCACCTTAGTCCAAGTATGTCTCAGTCCTCAGCCAATAGCTGTGATGTGAACCTTCCTTCTTAGACCCCTGCCCTTAGTCAAAACCTGGGCATCACATTACTGAAATGTCGTTTTGTTTTGAGGCGAGGCCTCAGGTAGCTAAGGCTGAACTCAAACTCCATATATAGCCAAGGATGACCGTGTAGTCCTGATCCTCCAGAGTGCTCCGATGGCAGGCAGGCACCTCCATGCCCAGCTTTGGGGGATTCTGCACGTGGAATCCAGGGCTGTGTGTGTACTAGGCAAGCACTCTACCCACTGAGACTCATCCTACACAGTTATGCGTACAAGCAAATTAATCAGTACCAAGCTCCAGGCTCAAGCCCCCAAGACCACAAACAGAACAAAGAAAAACAGTGAAATACACACGTGAAGCGACTAAGCTGTCGCTCCAGAGAGAGTGATTGCTTGGCGTGGCTGAGGCACCATCCCAAGCAGCGTTATATTCATACACACACAGCATCCGGCTGAAGAGCCCCCAGGGGGTGAGGGGGCGGGGGATCACAAGGGCCCCAACCACCAAGCCTGATGACCTGAGTTCAATCCCTGGGACCCACATGGTGGAGGGAGAGAACTGCCTCCCGCTAAGTTGTCCTTCGACCTCCACCGTGGGTGCACTCTCACAAGAAATAAATATAATAACATTTTTGTTTTTTTAAAGTAGTAGGCTGGGCATGCGATGCTGAGTCCACACTTCATCCCCAGTTCTTGGGAGGGTTGAGACAGGAGGATTACTGTGTTTGTGAGGCCAGGTGGGGCTACAGAGTAAGACTCTGTGGGAAGAAACAACCAAAAGAAAAGACGGAAGGGCAGGGGTCGGGCCTCAGACATGGGTTTTCCCGCAGCTGCCGGAGCAGCCTGTCTGGTCTGAAGAAGCCGGCATCTCTTTTACGGACACTGGCATGCTGGAGGTCCTCACGCCGGTAGCTGACCCACGGTTCCCAGCGTTTGACTTTCAGAAGTGCATTGTGAACGTGCAGTACGTTCTCAATAACGCCAGCCTTCAGATTGAACCTTGTAATGTAGGTGACCCCCGTGATCTAAGTCAATTCCCGGTGACCTTCGTAGTTACTTATTTCCGGGGTGGGTAGCTGTCGGCACTGCAGACGGACCTCATATAATGGAGGAGAGTCACGTCCCAGCACGTCACTCCCTGAGCCCATCTCTGCTTTTAGAATGGGGGAAACAGCCGGGCGGTGGTGGCGCACGCCTTTAATCCCAGCACTCGGGAGGCAGAGCCAGGCGGATCTCTGTGAGTTCGAGGCCAGCCTGGTCTACAGAGCGAGATCCAGGAAAGGCGCAAAGCTACACAGAAAAACCCTGTCTCGAAAAACCAAAAAAAAAAAAAAAAAAAAAAAAAAAGAATGGGGGAAACAGAAAACTTGAGGGAGAGATGATGGCGGAAGACTGTAATTTTAGTTCCTTGGGAGGTTGCAGAAAAATGATTTCAAATTCCACTCAAGCCTGTGCAACTCAGCAAGACCTCGTGTTAAGAGAAAAAGTGAATATGGGGCTGGGGGATGTGATCATGGTGGAGCCCCCACCTAGACTCACCCAGGAAAGGGCTGGGGCGTGGTCAGAGGTGGAGCATCTGCATAGCAAATGCCAGGGTTCAAGTTCAGTCCCCAATATTGCACGAAACATGCAAAAAACATTCTGGAAGAACTTGGTTCCTAGAAAAGGGTAGTGGGGATGCTTGTCTACATAAGGTTCTCTGGGGACACAGAGTCTAGCTGTGGCTCCCAGTGTGAGGATAAAAGTTTGTACCTAATGTGCAGCATCACCCACTTGTCCTTTGCTTCTGGAGACAGAACTGGGGAACAGCCTTTCCTTACATCCCTCCATCTCCCCCAGGTGGAGTTTCTGGATAGCACCATGGTAGAACAAATGTTCACGATAGACATGAACAGCAAGCTGGAGCTGTCTGCTCTCATGATTCCCCGGCCAGGCAAGATCCCCATACCACTGGTGAGTTTACACCCAGCCTGCACACTCCAGCCTGAGCCACAGAAGGAAGCTGTCTCACGGGCTCCATACTCCACAGTGCTGCCAGCCCACAACCCCAGAGGTTCTTGTGTGTCCAAACTTCCTCTTTTCTCTCTTTGCCCCTTCCACATTCCTCCAATTCCTCCTCCTCCTTTTTACCCTCTTCCTTCCTTATCCCCCTCCTCCATCTCCATCTCCTCCTCCATCATCTCCTCCTTCTCCATCTCCTCCATCTCCTCCTCCATCTCCCCCTCTCTCTCTGTCTTTTCCTCCTCCCACTCAGGGTTCTTCCAACAACCCCCCCACTCTCCCTCTTGTCCATGCCATCCTGTTGTGTCTCACAGCTCAGTGGCCTCAGGCTCTAAGGCTGCAGCTGACAGGCAGATGTTCCAGGTGTGCTGCAACCCAGGAGCTTCTGTGCAGAAGCAGCTTGGTTGTGCCGAGGGTGGACAGGGCTCCCCGGGTGTCTGTCACAGGGGACAGCTGTCTGTGTGTTATGTCTTAGGTGATGGTCAGCAACCCACATTCCATGGGGCTCGAGGCACAAATCCATGAGTTTGGCAACACTTTCGACGGCAACTATAAGTACAAACTGGTGCGTGTCGGTGGCCATGTCAGGGGCCTTGACCAATTTGGCCCAGTGACACCCCAGGCACTGATTTTTGTTTGTTTTGTGTTAGTGGGACATGGTGTCCCTCTGTAGGCCAGGCTAGCCATGGAATATGTCACCCTGCCTTGGCTTCCTAAGGGCTGGATACCGGGAATGTGCCACTTTGCATGATCCTTCACGCCAGTATCTCTTGTCTGAAAGGATCAGCCTCCCTCCTCCCTTCCTGCACAGCCCTCAACTCCTCTGCCCTGAACAAGACATGCAGACACCACCCACACATGCCCTGTCACACAGGAGAGGCTGGGGTGCGCCAGGCACAGGAAGGATGGGGAGAACCTAGGTAGAGGGCTGGGTTCTGGCCAGGGACTGGTAGAGGGGGTCCCCCTTGCACCTGTCAGCCTCAGGGTCATGACAGGACTTGCCTGTGGTGCCAGTCTATACGAGGTCACCTGAGCAGGCAGGATGCATCCAAGCCCACACTTCAGGCAACTCCTTGGGACATTAAATGTCAGTGAGGGGGGAGACAAAGTTGCAGCTCATGGGGGACACCAAGGATTGGGGTCACAAGGGCCATGAGAGCTTGCAGAAGGCTTTCCCATGACATAGTGGGGCTGGACAGCTGACAGACAAGGTCCCACAGTGCCCACCAGTCACCCTTCCCTTACTAGCCCCGCCCCATTTGGCTGATGTGGACCCCTGCTGCAACTGGCTGTCTTTCTGTGTGTGTGTCTGTCTGTCCGTTTCTCTGCCCCTGCTGCCATTCTGCAGGAAATTGAACTCAAACAGCAGCAGCATCAGAACAGGGCGGACCTCAACTTCACCACCAGGTATCTGATGTGCTCTCTGGAGAGGGCTAGAGGCTTCTCCCCACTGCTATCGGAAGGGATTGCAGAGCCACAGCGGGAGAAGTAGGGATGAGTTGCAACCGTACCTCCAGAAGATTGAGATAAAATTAGACTGGAGTTCTGCGTGGGGACAGGGCCTGGAGCTCATTGGTAGAGCACTCACTCAGGAAGCATGCAGCTCTGGGTTCCAGGCCCAGCACCCCAGGTCCTGAGTGCAGCCGCACATGCACGTGATCTCAGCTCTGGGGAAGCAGGAGCAGGAAGGTCAAGTTCGAGGTTAGCCTTGGCTATCGTATAGGGAGTTTGAAGCCAGCCTGCGCAGATGTGTGTGTGTGTGTGTGTGTGTCTGTGTGTTTGTGTTTGTGTGTTTGTGTGTGTCTGTGTCTGTTTGTGTGTGCATCTGTGTGTGTCTGTGTCTGTTTGTGTGTGTGTGCATCTGTGAGTGTCTGTGTCTGTTTGTGTGTGTGTGCATTTGTGAGTCTGTGTCTGTTTGTGTGTGTCTGTGTATCTGTGTCGTACCCAAGTCTGCTTTCGGGTGCTGTGATAAACACCATGACCAAGACTAACTTGGAGAGGACAGGGTTTATTTGGCTTCCACTGACTGATCACGGTCCATCTTGAAGGAAAGCTGAGGAAGGATTGAAGACAGGGACTGATGCAGAGGCCATGGAGGAGTGCTGTTTCCTGGCTGTTCCTGGTGGTTCAGCCTGCTTTTTGCTTTGTTTTGTTTCTGTTTGTTTGGGTTTTTTCTTTTGTTTTTGTTTTTCTGAGACTGTAACAGATCTGGCTGTCCTGGAACTCCTCACTCTGTAGACCAGGCTCAACAGAGATCCACCTACCTCTGCCTCCCCAGTGCTGGGACTAAAGGCATCTGCCACCACGGCCCAGTGCTCAGCCTGCTTTCTTATATTTTTGGCTGTGAGCCTAGCCTAATGGCTGAGCCATCTTTCCAGCCCAGGCTGCTTTCTTATACCACCCAGGACCACCTGCCCAGGGGTGGCACCACTGGATGCTGAAGTGTCACACATCGATCACTCATCAAGTAAATGCCACACAGGCCAAATCTGATGGGGCAAATCTCAGGTGAAGTTCCTTCTTCCTGACTGTGTCAAGGTGACAACCAAGAGTAGCCATGACAGATACTGGCGGATGGATGGTTGACAGATGGGTGAACGTTTTGATGAGTGCACCGGTGGTCACTCTAATGCAGGCCTTATAGCCCTGTTGCCTTGCAGCATCAAGCGGAATGCCATCTCCTCCATAACCGTGGACATAGCCGACAAGACAATCGCGTGTGTGGACCTGAAGCCGCTGGTGCGTACAGACGTCTGCTGCCTGACGTTTGCTCGTGTGCTGTCGCAGGGACGCTGCTCCCACCGCACTGCACAGGTTCTGGGGTGGACATAAAATGACAGTGTCCTGAGTGCTGGGGTCCCTGTGGTCATCTGAATCCCTCAGAATCCTCTGGGTGAAGTGCTGTTTCTTACTGGGCATCTCTAGAATTATCCCTGGCCAATTTGAGGGAACAGAACTTCTAGAGCCGTGGTTCTCAACCTTCCTAACACTGCAACCCTTTAATATAGTTCCTCGTGTTGTGGTGACCCCCAACCATAGAAAAATAACTGTAATTTTGCTGCTGTTATGAATCACAATGTAAGTATCTGTGTTTTCTGGTGGTCTTAGGTGACCTCTATGGAAGGGTTTTTTGATCCCATATGGGTTGTGGCCCATAGGTTGAGAACCATTGTTTTTTTTTTTTTTTTTTTTTTTTTTTTTGGTTTTTCGAGACAGGGTTTCTCTGTGTAGCTTTGCGCCTTTCCTGGGACTCACTTGGTAGCCCAGGCTGGCCTTGAACTCACAGAGATCCGCCTGGCTCTGCCTCCCGAGTGCTGGGATTAAAGGCGTGCGCCACCACCGCCCGGCGAGAACCATTGTTTTAAGTGGTTCTTCCAGAGACTTGAAAATGAAATGCCTGCTTGCAAAAACTTGTCCGTACATCATTCCCAGCTGTGTTATTCACTGAAGCCATGTGTCACGGCATGGGTGTGTGGGTTCACGGGGATCCTTGGGAAAAAGACTCAGAGGCACCTTAAGAATGAATTTAGCCTATCTTGACTGCAGGGGAGTGTAGCTAGAGTTTTCCTGCCTGGCCCACAGTCAGGACAAATCTCTGTCACCCGCCAGTCCCACAGACGCTCAGCCCCAACCAAGTAAACACAGAGACTTATATTGCTTACAAACTGTATGGCCGTGGCAGGCTTCTTGCTAACTGTTCTTATAGCTTAAATTAATCCATTTCCATTAATCTATACCTTGCCACGTGGCTCATGGCTTACCGGCATCTTCACATGCGGCTTGTCATGGTGGTGGCTGGCGGTGTCTCCTTCACTCAGCCTTCCACTTCCCAGAATTCTCCTCTCTCCTTGTCCCACCTACTTCCTGCCTGGCCACTGGCCAATCAGTGTTTTATTTATTGACCAAACAGCAACACACTTGACATACAGACCATCCCACATCAGGGGAGTCCAGCCTCTAAGGACTTTCCCTTTGCCCAGGGCATTTTTATTTTTCTCAATATTTATACTTTCGTAAGTTGATTTCCGTATTCTCAAAACAGCCTGAAAGGAGCTCCCAAAAATACAAGGCCAAGTGCAAATTCCTCGATTCATCAAGTACCATGGTTTTCCGAATTTCCTGAACCAAGTTTTGCATAGGCCTTTGTATCCATGGGAGACTGAGACAAGATTCACATAGGGCAATAAGAGAAACAAAAGATATTGGTTAAACAAAAGACGGGTTAGGGCTGGTTGTTACTCTCTGGAGTCAGGCCAGGTGCAGCTCAGCAGGGGTGCAGCCACAATTCACAAGGGACAAGAGTGGGAAAACTGACCAGTGGATACAGAAAACGTGGCCCATCCATTCGATTGAATATTACTCAGCCAGGAAAAGGAATACAGTTCTTACAGACAATTGCCATGTGGAGACTGTGTGCTTTTGAGGGGAGGGGATGGAGAGTTAGGTGTTTTCTAGGGACAGAGCTTGGGTTTGGGAAGATGAGATGTGACACTGAGAGCCACTCTGTTGGGATCAGGCTTGGCAGGTCTGACAGTGGTTCTTCATGAAGTGTGTCTGTTCCTTGCAGTCCACGCTCATCTCAGTTGGCTGTGACAAGACAAAGAAGATACTTGTGCAGAAGTGAGTGTGACATCCCCGGGGATAGGGGATGCAGGGTGGGGCCGGCAACATCGCTAGAGTGAGGTGACATTATTCCAGCGACTTTTGTATGTTTAGCAGTTCTATAATAGGGAACTGAGGGCCCCGAGGGAGGGCTCAGCCTTTAGAGCAACAGCTGCTCTTGCAGAGGACCAGGGTTCGGTTCCCAGCACCCATGTGGTGGCTCACAACTGTCTGTAACTCCAGGTCTAGGGGATGATTTAGGATGATTTCTGTGGGCATTGCACACACACGTGCATAGACAGACATGCAGGCAACACACTCACACACGTAAAACAAACAGACATTCAAACACTGAAATATTCCATTTAAATTACATGTTATTAAATGTTAACTTTAAATATTAAAATAAAAATTCTGCACATAATTAGCAGTTCTATTACAAATCAAACACTGAAAACCCCAAATTCCTGGAAGCAGCCCATCCTGAGCCAGGAGGTGATCGGTCAGCCATGCATGGAGGTGGCCATGCCATGCTCTGGGGCCATCCTGTGTGTGACTTGAATTTGTTAGTATCACAATGCCTTGACCTTCCTATGATGATTTGCTCTTTCTTGTGTTAAAGACTATAAAGTGTGTGAGTGAGTTAGTGTGTGATAGTGTATGTGTGAGTAAGTGTATGTGAGTGTGTTAATGTTTGTGTGAGTGAGTTAGTGTGTGATAGTGTATGTGTGAGTCTGTGTGTGAGTGTGAGTATGTGTGAGTGTGTGTGACTCTGAATGTCTGAGTCTGTGTGTGAGTGTGAGAGTGCAAGTTCTCTGAGTCCAGAAGCACCAGCTCCCCTGGAGCTGGCATTGCACACAGTTGTGAGCCCCTCCCCCATGTGAGCCATCTCTGCAGCCACGGATTTTAATTTACAAGGAAGGATTTGGAACCCTCCCTAGCACCCCTGCAGGCCCCCACCCTGCACAGCTGGGGCTGGGATCCCATCCCTCCCAGCCTTGCTGCCCCCTTCGGTTCCCGTGTCCCTCCTCCTACCGCTGCCGCCGCCGCCGCCGCCGCCACCGCTCCATCCCTGGTTGTCCTGTCCCTCTTCAGGTCTGTCCACTTCTCTCCATTACAGCAAAATCTCTGCCTGCTCCATGGGAATCCTCAACCCGGTGGAGCTGCAAAGAAACTATACTTACACCATTGAGAAGTAAGTGGGGTGTTGCCCACCCCCCAGCCCTCCACACACTGGGACAGAGACCCCAGGGAACCAGGCAGAGTGATTTAAAACTGGTGTCTGGCCCAGGAGAACCATGCAGCCCCAGGAGCTAGTGCGATGCAGTGGTGTGCCGGAAGCTGTCCCTTAGTGCCAGGCACTGAAGCCCATCTCGATGCCTCTCCTTTGAGGTGGCACTTTGAGTCAAAGCCGGGCCTCAGCACTGGCCCTAAGCTATCCTAGGAGGTTTGCATTGCTATAAGACGTCATGGCCAAAAGCAGCCTGTGTTGGTTAAGCAGCGGCCATGCCGAGGGAGGAGAGTGCTGGTTGGTGGAAAAATCACGAGCCATAGTTACCTTTCTAGAGCTTTATTGGGAGAGAGAGGGAGAGAGAGAGGGAGAGAGAGAGAGAGAGAGAGAGAGAGAGAGACAGACCGGGGGGGGGGACCACGCGGAGGGGGGAGGACAGACAGAAAGAGAGAGAGTGCGGAAAAAGAGAACACACAGAGGGCACGCCCGTGTTTTAGGCTGGGACGCCATCACAGGCTGGTGACGTAATTAAGGACATAATCCTTACAACCTGAGGAAGGGCTGATGCAGAGACCGTGGAGGAACACTGCTTACTGGCTTATTCCTCATGGCTTCCTTGGTTTATTTTCCTAAGTAACTCAAGACCAGCTGCCCAGGAGTGGCACCATCCCCAGTAAGCCTGGCCTCCCACATCAATCATTAACCCAGAAAATGCACCACAGGCATTTTCTAAACTGAGATTCCCTCTTTACAGATAACTCTGGCTTATATCACCTTGACAGAAAAACCAACCAGGAAGCCAGGCAGTGGTGGCGCATGCTTTTAATCCCAGCACTTGGGAAGCAGAGGCAGGTGGATCTCTTGAGCTCCAAGCCAGCCTGGTCTACAGAATGAGTTTCAGGACAGCCAGGGCTACACAGGGAAACCCTGTTTTGGAAAACCAAACCAAACCAAACCAACTAAACAAACAAACAGAACATTTGACCCCTTGACACACAAGTACATAAGTATTAACCCATAACCTTTCCTTTCTTGTTTGTCTCCAATGATTCATGTTAATATAAATATATTTAAAAATACAACCCAAGTATTTAAAATTCAAACACTCAAAAAAAATTCAGTATCTTGAAATATATCCAATGTCTTCCTAAAAGTCTAAAGTCCCTTGACTGTGGGCTCCAATAAAATAAAAACAATAAGTTAAATACTTCCTTACTCCAAGAGGGAAGAACCAGGATGCTGTTGACAATCAAGTGGAAATCAATTCCTGTAGCTCAGTGTCCCCCTCTGGGCTCCACTTCTCTAGCTCCGCCCTCTGCAGCAGATACAACCTCGGGTCCAGACTCAGGCCGGCTCCACCCCACACTTGCTGCTGTGCTCGGTGGTCATCTACAATCCTGGCATCTCCAGCATGCTGGGGTCTCCCATGACACTGAGGCTGCACCCTCACCAGTGGCCTCTCCTGTCCTCTCCCAGTGCTGGTCTCTTCTTAATCACAGCCAATTCTGCAGCCCCAACTGAGCAGAACCACAGAATCTTTGTTTTTGTTTTTTCGAGACAGGGTTTCTCTGTGTAGCCCTGGCTGTCTTGGATCTCGCTCTGTTGACCAAGCTGGCCTCAAACTCACAGAGATCCACCTGCCTCTGCCTCCCCAGTGCTGAGATTAAAGGTGTGTGCCACCAGGCCCAGCTCTAAAACACACATTCTTTTCTTTTCTTTAAACACACACACACACACACACACACACACACACACACACACACACACACATTCTTAATGCAAAACGTCAAACAAAGAGCCCTAACAGTCTTTGAGGGCCTCTTAAATTCCCTCTGAAACTCCACAAGACACGTCTCCATCATCTGCACTTCTCTCAACACTCCTATCTTTCAAGGTCTCGTAATAGCTCACTGAGCTCTCAACACTCAATGACTTTTCCAGTCCAAAGTTCCAGACTCCTTCCATAATCCTCCCCAGAACAACATGGTTGTGTCTACCGCTGCAACACCCCACTCGTGTTACCAAATTTATCTTCATTAGGATTTCTACTGCTGTGATGAAACACCATGACTAAGAGCGACCTGGGGAGGAAAGGGTTTATTTCAGCTCACAGCCTGTGGTCCATCATCCTGGGAGTCAGAACAGGGACCTGGAGGCAGGAGCTGAGGCAGAGGCCATGGAGGGCGCTGCTTACTGGCTTGCTCCCCATGGCTTGCTCAGCCTGCTTTCTTATAGGACCCAAGACCAGCAGCCCAGGGATGGCATTATTCACAGTGAGCTGGGTCCTCCCACATCAATCACTAATTAAGAAAATGTCCTACAGGCTAGCCTGCAGCCTGATCTTATGGAGGCATTTTCTGAGGCATTTTGTCACCAGAGATTCACCTTCCCAGATGACCCTGGCTTGTATCAAGTTGACTAATAAAAGTAACCAGCACAAAGCCAAGGTCAGCATTGGTGCTGCTGGGTTTGGTGGTGGTCTGTTATTCAGGAAGGCAGCCCAGTGTTTTTTCTGATGCAATACCAAACACACTTAGCCTTAGCAATTTGTAGACAAAACAGGTTTATGACTTACAGTTCTAGAGGATGTAGTCTAGGTACTAACCTTAGCCCCGCCCCCATCCCCTCACTGGGGATTCTAGGCGGGGCTCCACCCTGACCACGCCCCCAGCCCCTCACTGGGGGATTCTAGGCGGGGCTCCACCCCTGACCACGCCCCCAGACCCTCACTGCGGGATTCTAGGTGGGGCTCCACCCTGACCACGCCCCCAGCCCCTCACTGGGGATTCTAGGAGGGGCTCCACCCCTGACCACGCCCCCAGCCCCTCACTGTGGATTCTAGGCGGGGCTCCACCTTGACCACGCCCCCAGCCCCTCACTGGGGATTCTAGGTGGGGCTCCACCCTGACCACGCCCCCAGCCCCTCACTGGGGATTCTAGGCAGGGCTCCACCCCTGACCACACCCCCAGCCCCTCACTGGGGATTCTAGGCGGGGCTCCACCCTGACCACGCCCCCAGCCCCTCACTGGGGATTCTAGGTGGGGCTCCACCCCTGACCACACCTCCAACCTGTTTTCTTTCTTTTTTGTGAGACAGGGTCTGACAATACATTCAATAATCCTCCTGCCTCAACCTCCTGAGTGGCTGGAAGGACAGATGTGAACCAACAGCTCCTCCCACTCCCGGACACACACACCATTGTTTATATAGGACTCACACATCTGTGGATTTTAGTATCCATTGATGGTCCAGAATCAGTCCTCCCCTGGGGCTGGGGGTGATGAAGGCAGAGGTAGACTTAGGAGAGAGAAACACTGTTCAAATGAATGCTTTTTTTTTTTTTTTTAGGTATTTTGATTACATTTTATTTATTCATTTAGTATAGCATGTAGCAGGCAGAGGACAATTTGTGGATTTTGCTCTCTCCTTTTAGCTTGTGGGTCTCAGAGAGTGAACTCAAGTTATGAGCTAGGCAGCAAGTGCCTTTACCCACTGTGTCCCCTCATCACCCTTGGGCCATCGAGGTGTGACTCCCACAGCCATCTGTCCAAGAATTCCTAACCACATGTGGGTCTGGGAGGAGAAGGCTGGGACGGGTTCAGTTTTGAGCTTTGTGTGGCTGTCAACTGATTGGCTGTGTCCCCCTCTTGGGAGACTTGAGCTTGGCTTAAAATGCATTGACTAAAAAGGCACACACACACAGACAGATGCACAGACAGATGCACACAAATACACACACAGATACAGACACACAGAAACAGACACGTGCACACACAGACAGACGCACACAAACACACACACAGATACAGACACACAGAAACAGACACGTGCACACACAGACTCACAAATATACACACATTTACAGACACACAGAAACAGACACACAGACAGACGCACACAAATACACACACAGACATACACACACCGAAACACAAATACACACACCGAAACACAAATACACACACATCTACAGACACATAGAAACAGACACACAGACACAAATACAAACACACATACAAACAGACACACACACTCAGACACACATATACTCACACACACAGTGTACAGAAACACAAGCGGGCAAAAGAGTCAGACACATAAATATAAACCTGAAAAACCAAACAGTCTTTCCACATCAGTCCTGGCTGGGGAGGGCTCAGCTGCCAGGACCTGAGTTCAGATCCCGGGACCTGTGATTTAAGGACAAAACAATGACCCAGGTGCTGGTGTGGGCTTCTAATCACCGTGCTCCTTGTCTCTTCACAGGGAAGCCTACAGGCCAGTAAACTATGATGCCCAGGCTCAGGCCGACCTGCTGGTGTATTACCAGTACAAGGAACTGGGCTGCCCTCGCCTGGTCTACTATGACAAGCCGTGGAAGCCCGTGGTGGAGATGTAAGGCCCCCCACTGCACCAGCATTCCCTCCTCCCAGGACAGCCGCCCCCTCTTATCCCACTCTGTCTGTCCTGAGTCAGCCCCAGCGACTGAGCCCAAAGCTAAGGAGGTGTGGGCCCAGGTCTGTGTGGCTTGACTTGCAGATGTACACACTCTCTTTTGTTGTTGTTCATATTGGGCCAGCCTCTAACCCACTACGTAGCCCAGGCTGGCCTCAGACTTTCCATACTCCTGCCTCAGCCTTCAAGTGTTGGCATCTCTTGTGCCACTAACCTGGATTACATTTTTGTTGGTTTTGTTTTTTTTTTTTTGAGACAGGGTTTCTCTGTGTAGCTTTGCGCCTTTCCTGGAACTCACTTTGTAGACCAGGCTGGCCTCGAACTCACAGAGATCCTCCTGCCTCTGCCTCCCGAGTGCTGGGATTAAAGGCGTGCGCCACCACCGCCCGGCTGGATTACATTTTTTCTTCTGACCCCTTCTATGCAGTCTATGGTTTCCCTCCCTCCTCCTCTCTCTTGCCTCTGTCCTCACCTGGAGCAATGTCTATGTTTCCATGAGAGGTTGTGGGGTTTCAGAGGATGAGTAGGAGTTTGTCAGGCAGATATGATAATGAAGGCACAGTCACATAGAGACTCCACGACACTCAGAGCAGGTACAGTTGCACACACCTCAGGAAGCTGAGGCAGAAGGATTGCAAGTTTGAAGCTAGTCTGGGCTGCACTGCAAGACTCTGTCTTAAAGAGATTATCCTGAGCCGGGCGGTGGTAGCACACACCTTTAATGTCAGTACTCAGGAGGCAGAGGCAGGAGGATCTCTGTGAGTTTGAGGCCAGCCTGGTCTACATAGTGAGTTCCAGGACAGGCAACAAAACTACACAGAGAAACCCTGTCTCAAAAA